CCTGTGTGGATTATGTTATTTATTTGGGTTAAACTAAGAATAATAACTGCATCCCTAAATTCAGCTAAGACAACAACTAAGTTCTACATTACCATTGTCCCTGTAGGTAACTGTGTGTGTGTGTGTGTGTGTGTGTGTGTGTGTGTGTGTGTGTGTGTGTGTGTGTGTGTGTGTGCGTGCGTGCGTGCGTGCGTGCGTGTGTGTGTTGTTTCCTTTTAGGTTGGTTGTGACCGTAGCAGTGCTCTGGTCCACATCTGTGCAGAGAGAGGTTTCCAGGCGTTTGTATCTGATGCTCTTAGTGTCCCACTGCGAACAGCGTCCTGTGATGCTTGCATCTCTATTGCTGTCATACACCACTTTTCCACACAGGTAAGCATGTTGTACACTGAACATCCAAACACATACACAAACATGCATACAGAATAGTTATAACCATATAATATAATACTAATCCAAATAAATACATCAGTCTCCTTGTTGGTTGTAGTTTCAATGTTTTATGGTAATGTGGATCAACTAACAGGCTGCAGTACTAGAAGCGTCCTCTTAAGGACACAAGTATGAAAAATAATTGGCATCCATCCACTGCTTGTGAAAACTGGTCATGTGACTAATTTTGGACTGAACAATTGAAGTGTCTTTTTTTAGGTCTGATGTCAGTGTAATGAAGTCATTGTTTAAAACTGAAAAGAAAGAATTGTACTGCTGAACATCTTATTTTTTTTATTTTTTTTGTCATTTTCTTCTTCACTTCAAACGACTATTGAGAAGATAGGAGAGTAAAAACTCTCCTATCTTCTCAATAGTCCTGTATCTAAACAATATTAACAATTTTAAGCATCTGGGACTTGTGCATGGTTAAATGTTATAGCACTAATGTTACTGTATGTCCATGTCAAATAAACAAATTAATAAAAAAAAACAAGATTGCAATGCAAGGCATCCAGTTCAGCTCAATCTTTATAATTTTTTGTCATAAAAACAGCATAGCAAAAATATTTCTAAAACTTAGAGAATTCTACATTTGCTGTTACCCTTTGGCTCTAGCAAGAAAAATCTCCAGAACATTTATAATTTCTTTGTATAACTTGGAGCATGACTAACAGCAAAACTCCAAAATGTCCTATTAGATGGAACATTTACTACATTAAGAAAAAAAATCTAATTTGTGAAAACAACTTTAAAACAAAGTTTAAGGAAATGATTCTATTTTTTCCACCGTGCTTTTTTAAAGAGACAACTTTGAATTTTGTTTTCTCTATGTTCTCTTTTACACATTTGATTTGGTTAGTTCACAGGGTTCCTCAGGAGATTATGATAGTAATGGAGAATTAAATCATTTGTGTGTGTGTGTGTGTGTGTGTGTGTGTGTGTGTGCGCATTTGTTGCAGGACCGTCGGCTGGCAGCAGTGAGGGAGCTGGTGAGACTTTTGAAGCCTGGAGGTCGAGCGCTCATCTATGTCTGGGCTTTTGAGCAAGAGTACAAAAAGCAGAGGTCCAAGTACCTTAAAGACCAGAACAAGGAGGGCTCTGATGTCCACAGCCCCACCAAAAACACATCAGAAGAGAGCCAAGAGCCTCATGGGAAATCAAGCCGACATCTAGAAGACGACAACAGACCTGTTAACAAGATACAAGATGATTCCAAAGTGACTGACGGCAAACTTAGTGTGCACACTAACCGCACAGCCTTCAACACCCAGGACCTTTTGGTTCCCTGGCATCTCAAAGAGGGGAAAAGACGAGGGGAGGTAGAACCAGTAGAGACTGGGAGGAAGGACAAAATGAAAGACGATTCCAAAAAGACTTCTGGAAAGTCCTGCCCCACTACCAGCAAAGACTCTAAACCTATTCCTAGTATCGGCACTACCCAGTCCTCTACTGTGAAACCAAAGTCGGAGTCTGACAGCAGCCCAGCGCCAGTTTTTCACCGCTATTACCATGTGTTCCAGCAGGGGGAGCTGGAACAGCTGTGTGGTCAGGTGGCTGGAGTCGAAGTGCAGAGCAGCTACCATGACCAGGGAAACTGGTGTGTTATATTAGAAAAAGCTGGTACCCTCTAATTTAAGATCATTCAGATACAATGTAATGAAACAATTAAGAACGTTTTAATTGTTAAAGTTCAGAGGAGAGAAAATGGAACAGACATGCCATCAAATAAAGATAAAGATTTACAAAGTCCCTTCCTTAATTGTGCACTTGAGTGATTTCTTGATAGTATATGGAGGTGACATATTACAGAGTGGACTGCAAAATCGATCATAAACTTCAATTAATGTCAACTCAATGGTAAACAGCTTGTTCCTAAGTTTTAAAGTTGAAGGGCCAAGATGCAATGTGGCATTTTAGGAAGGAGGGATTTGTTCACATTCAAATATATTTTTTCCTCCCATTTATACATTTGTCTGACAAAAGGAGCATCTCAATGTGGTTCATGTCCAAATGATGTATTTTTTACATTAATAAAAGCATGTTAAAACGTTCTCATGATTTTTACATCACGATCATTGTCGTACATTTTTTGACATGAGTAGACAGATACATTATGCTACACGCTTATTTAAAAAACGATTTAAAGCCTAAACATATTTAATGGAAGTTAGCAGTTTGTTTGCTTTGTGTGTGGTCAGGTTTTGTTTGGAAATGAAGCATAAAAAAGACATGACCAATATTAGGATTGAATAGCTGAAAAGCAGGCATTAAACACATAGAAGAAGACAGTTATTCAATACTACTCATTTATGTTAGCACTGCAGCTGAACAATCTTTTTTATTATTATTGCAAAACTAAAGTTTCTTCTTTTGGAGGAGCTGAAGTGTTTGTACTTTACACTGCAGGTACTGACATTCGGCCAATTTGGCCCAAAACTTAAAGTTTAGTTACACATCAAAGTGTTAAAGCTAGTTATTTATACAGTGTCCTAAAACAATGGATTTGTGTCTCACGATTTTTCTTAGTTGTTTTTACCTCAGCCTCCATGAATTATTCAGACTCTAATGTCAATACAGCGCTCCCAATAGCCTCAAACAGAAGTCAGGGGGGTCACTTCTGGACAGATGGCAATGGGATTTTAAATTAGGATCCAATCCTATTGAAATTCAGTTTTTGTGTTGTTTTTAAATTTTGGACAAACTGTTGATCAATCAATTGTTTATTTTAGTTTAGACTTGGTTTAATGTGAGTGTATGACGTAATCCCCCTTTCTTTCTTGCTCACAGAAGCATTCATACATGATGTCTCATATTAACAAGATAGGTTTTACCAGACGGCTTTAAAACAGAATGAATTGTAGGATAATAGGGTATCGATGGCAGAGGAGTGTAGCGCTGTTATTTGTTGTGGAGGTTGGTAATTGGTCAGCAGCTCCTGGTAAATTACTCCTGTGGCTCCTCAGTCCTCAGGGACCCACACAGATTGACACATTGTGGTGCTGCGGTGAGAGAGATGGCTCTGTGGCTTTTATTGACAGTGGGTTATTGATTATGGTGAGGCAGCTTGCTCTGTGTACGTGTGTTTGTGTGTTAGGGAGAGATCCTTTGTGTGCAGCAGTGTGATTGTCAATGTATTGTTGTAGTTCAATCTCTCAGCAGAGTCGGTCACTTGCCTTTTTGAGGAATAATTCAAATTTGAAGTTATCCCTCCCTTTGGTAAAGATCATTGATTTGACAGGCTTAATGAGATTTTACATCTTCAGCTCCCAGGAGTAAAGAGACATTCAATACTGAGATAATGTGTAACACTTAACTCATGTAAGATTGGTTTTATGTGTGATGGTGCAGCTTTGAAAATGAAAAGTGATGCAATGGCCAAAATTAATCTAAGAGCAAAAGTACAAGTCCCTATGCTTTAGTCTGGTTTAGGTGTGGAGAGTTTAATAATGAATTTGGCTGTTTCTGCTTAAGGAAACTGTGAATTGTTTTACATAAGGGTGCTGTTATACTTTGCAGCAACATTGAAAAAGATTGTAAAAAAACAAAATGGACAAGCCAACAGCAAGCTCCCATCAAAACCCACCTAACACCTGGAGCAAAAGCCTGTGAGTAAAAGCTGTCACGGCAACATATGCACGCCAACAGTTTTAGAATATAATGTTCTGTTTTCTGGTTATTCTACTATTACTCCTGCTTCCACAATACTTTTCTTACATCTAATGCCTGTTTGCTGTCTGTTGTTCTTCCTATAATTTATCCCTTTTGTACTATTATGTCGTTCTTGAGAGTAAGCTGAGGATCAAGGCCTCTTGTGTTATACAGATTGTATTGCCTGGATGCTGACACAAATGTGTGAGTAAGGCTTCAAAATGAAAATGAGACATATTTTCTAGCAGGTTTCACTTTACACTGCAAATAGCAGAATAAGCTAGGTCAGGGGTGGGCAACTGGCGGCCCGGGGGCCACATGCGGCCCCCCATCAACCCTCAACGTGGCCCTCAGGTCAATTTTTACACATCAATAAATTGGAAAATATGACAAAATCTGCCATGAAAACCAGAAATATGTCTATAATTATATTTGATCACTGGTATATGTTGAGTTAAATCTGAGACATAATTGACTGTAATCGTTTTTGTATCCTACAATTTGGCCCCCTGGTATATAGTGAGAATTAAACGAATGTGGCCCTTGCTGCGACCAAACTTGCCCATCCCTGAGCTAGGTCGACATTCTAACCTAATATTCATAACCTAAATCCGCTTGTGCATACACATGTTTAAGTTCATTATCTAGTTAAACATATTAATGAAGCCTGATACATCTGGATTGAATTTTGTTCATACAAGGGGCTACGCTTCGACTTTGTACCGTAGCCAACACCCTTTGCACAAAAACAACCCCTTCATGTGTGTACCTTTAGCTACCTTAAGTTTAACATTTTGTACCCAAGTCATTTTGCCATAAAAAAAATAGGCATCATTTTATCTTTATGTTAATGATGATGTCATTAAACTACAATAACCACAAATCAACGCTTGCCGTAAACTCCCACGCTTTCACGACACCCAAGCAACAACATTGACGACAGTGCAGTGGTGTCATGGCGGCGTGCGGAGTCAGTTTTGAGAGCTCGAGCAGCATAGAGGACAGAAAGGATGGCAAACGACAGGCTCGAAAAGAGGCGATAGAAAAGGTATAAACTGTAAGTCAGACTAACCTGTGAGTCAACCGAGGTCAGCTTTGTGGCGTCATATTTGACTTTAATGATGCAGGTTTCGACCGAATGGAAGCTAACAACCTAGCAGGCCAATAGCTAAGGTTGCGTTTACGTTATATTAAAAAGGTGGTTTTTTTTAATCTCACACCTTAACCGTGATGTAAATTGTCTCCTCTCACAGCCTTTATTTATTCCGGAGAGCTAACAGTACATGTGTGTGCACAGGCGGGAGGATAGTGCATGACAAACACAGATAGGAGACCTGTTACAAAGATGCTTTACGTCTTGTCTGTCACAAGCATAAAGATTAGGACAGGCTTTTGTAGTAATCACATGTTCACACAGGTTTTTGAATCGGGTTTTTTTTCTCTCTCCCCGAGCAGCTGTGTTTACTGTTACCAGACACACACACAGCAACACGGAGCATTAATGATGAACACCGAGAGATGTAAAGACACTTATCTGCTCGGCTCACATGTGCTACACAAAACAATGCGTGGTCCTTTTTAAAATGCCCTTTCTAGTCTGTCAAGTCGAAGTCAACTTTATTCATACAAGCACATTTATAACAGCCGAGGCGGACCAAAGTGCTGTACAGTAAATCAGGCAAAATACATTGCATCCAAAACGTCATAAAGACACGTGTAAGCAAAAATTAAAAAAGTCAATTAAAACACAAAACAAGAGTCAAAGTTCTAGTAGACACTGCTGCTGGGATAAAACACTCAACTAGAGGTAAAAAAAAAAAAAAAAAGCCAAGGAAAAGAAATTTGTTTTTAAAAGTGACTTAAACTGCTCAGTTGTGGCAGCAGATCTTATTTTTAAATGGTAATCTGTTTTAAAGTGTCGGAGCTGCAACAGAAAAAAAGCTTTCGATCGGCCCTGGTTTTTGAGCCTTTGTTTTGGGCACGTCCGGGAGCAGCTGGTTGGAGGACCTTGGTGCTCTGGATGGAGCATGAACATGTAGTAGTTCACTTAGGTAGTGAGGTGTTGAGCCATTTAATGATTTAAAAGCCAGAAGTAAAATTTAAAAATCAATCCTGCAGCGAACAGGAAGCCAGTGGAGAGAACGGAGCACAGGGGTTATAGTGGTCCCTCTTTTTGGTGCCTGTTAGGAGGCGAGCAGCCGCATTTTGTAAAGGATTTGGGCTCATAATTACTTGATTGAGTCACTTTGGTCGCCGCATGTACATTTCACTAGGGCTGGGCGATATGGACCAAAACTCATATCTCGATATTGTTTAGCTGAATGGCGATACTCGATATATATCGATATGTATTTTATTAACAGTGAAAACACATGGAAAAAATAAACTACCTCTTTGTGAGTTTAAAAAGTAATATTATAAAATGAAAATGTTCCTTAAATACAATAACAGAGAGAGAGAGAGGAGAAGCAGGGTTAAGAGGGACTGACAGTCAGTCATCATCAGTGAGATGAGGAAAAGGTGACCTGGCACCTCTGTAACGTTATTTTAATGCAACTTAAACTATATCGATATGAACGATATTGTCTTACTCTATATCTTGTTTGAAAATATATCGATATATCTTAAAAACTCGATATATTGCCCACCCCTACCTATCACGTCACTTGTCAGCACTACAAAATGCATTTGAAATCTGTATCATTGGTTTCATAATGAGAAAGAAAAAATATCACAGCTCCAAAGGATAGGCATTAGATGGACATCTTGACTGCAAATGCTGGTAACCTTGCTGTCATCCGTGATTCATATTTTGTCCTTCTTGTTTCCATCAGGCCAAGCAGCAGTATGACAAGGAAGAGAGGAGGAAGGAGCTGAAGAGGCTGAGAGGCGAGGACACATGGATGCTCCCTGAGATCAACCAGAGGCTGCAGGCGATAGAAGAAGTAAGATACAAAGCCTTCTCTCACTTATAGCTTTGGATGTTATCATAACCAGAATAAAGGCCCTGACTCATCAGTGTATTGCAATAGTTTGTCGGACAAACTCGATGACAAGTCATGAGTATACTGTCCCTCAAAACAGCTGAATGTGTGTGTCGCAGGAACATTTTTGTCCACCTAAACCCGCAATATGAAGACAAAAGTTTTACCCTGCAGGCACTCTTGTGTGATTGAGGACTGACAGTATAAATGTAATTCACCTTAAATATACAAATCACACAGTTAAGAGAGAAAAACATAACTGATGACGTCTGTACACTTTGCAGGAGGATTCTTTGAAGAGCAAAAAGAAAAAAGAAAAGAAATCTAAAAAGAAAAAGGAGAAGAAGAAGGCCAAGAAAGAGAAGAAAACCGCAGAAACGGGAGATGGCTCTAATGACAGCTCAGAGGTAAGATATTCAAACTCAGAATTCCTTCTGGCAGGGTCTGAATCTGAACTGTTCACTTACAAGGGATTTTTTTTATCCATCATATTTCTCTCTCTCTCTCTCTCTCTCCCTCGCTATGCCTTCTCTGTCTATCAGGACTCGGGGGATGAGTGGGTTGAGGCCAAACCACAGGCCCAAACTGCTAAAGCCTGGAAGCTCCCTGATGACTCTAAACCTTCAGAGAGCAACCAAAGCCCAGACCAGAATGTCCAACAGGTGACCTCCTAAACCCCTGCAATGCATATACTTGAAAACTCCACGCTTCGACTGTTGAGATGAATACTTAATACTTCATCTTAATAGAGCGTACATTACTACATTTAGTACTGTATCAAGATTATTATTACATATTTAACATGCAAACACAGTTTTGACCTTTTCTGCTTTAGTGTTAAACTGACTCATTCATGTTTCTTTCTCTTTTTCCTGTAGAGAGACGAATGGATGACCTTTGACTTCCTGGCAATGAAAACTACCTCTACAACAGAGAGGAGAGCTGAGAAAGAACGGCTGAAAGACGAGGAGAAAGCAAAAGCACAGGCCATTGAACAGGTGAGTGTTTGTGTATGATGTATGCAGACATGGCAGAATCACATCTGTGTTAATAGACACATGATGTAATATGAGAAGAGACACATAGGGGAGAAAGAGTGATCTTGTTCTTAAATGGATTGCACACTATTTGAAAACACGGTTGCATCCTTATCCTAATTCACCAGCTGTGTGGTTACCAGGGTAACCGCTGTGTTTACATATTTATTTCCGGTTTGTATCTTTGTCCTTCATCGCACTGTTGTCACTTCACTCACTCAGAATTCAATTAGTTATCTTTCATACAGCCCTGTTTTCATGCTACTGATCCATGTGACTTTGAACTGACCCACCCGGGACTAATAAAGTTTTTTTTAAGTGTATTGAAGAGGTCGCTCCTTCTTGGAAAGTGATATATTGATGTGTGTGCGTGTACCTAATGCGGTCGGCAGGTTTTTTTTTTTTTGCATTTGTGCCTCTGTTGTGTTGTTTACAGAAATGATTCCTGTGTGTAAATTTGTATTTCCCCCAGGCTGGTTTGCACAAATTGGAACTTAATCCATACTGGAAAGATGGAGGATCTGGTCTGCCCCCAGAGGAGAAGGCTGGAACTGCAACAACAAAAGGTAGAGATCAGAGAGATCAGATCAAAGATCAGTGGGCTGTATTCAGGCAGATGCACAAGTTAGATTCTTAAATGTAAAAAAATCCTCAGAATAGTTGAAATCCTGAGTTTTTGTTATTGTTCACAATGAAGCACAGCCAATACTCTGTTATACTCAGGTAAACATCAGATAACCTTCAAGTGTGCAACCCTCTTTTGATCAATCTGCTCTGCACAATCACATTCTTATCACACCCTTATGTTTACTTGCAGCACTTTACACTCTTCTGCATCAGCCTTCTTTTCTTAACAACATCATAATTCATCTCAAAACAAGCTCTAGTGACCCTCCAGCCCTTCATTGATGTATCAACCCAGAATTTTCAGCTTGGAAAGGCTTTGTGTGAATATGTCAAGGATGATGGCACACCATTACCTGCCTGATTCAGAGTTAAAGAGAAATAGTAGTAGAATTTAAAAACACCCAGTAATGTGGTCATAACGGTTAACATAGAGGTTTTACCAAAGAGTGACGAGCGAGAGAGCGAGCGAGAGAGAGAGCGAGAGAGAGAGAGCGAGAGAGAGAGAGAGCGAGCGAGCGAGAGAGAGAGCGAGAGAGAGCGAGCGAGAGAGAGAGAGAGAGAGAGCGAGAGAGAGAGAGAGCGAGCGAGCGAGCGAGAGAGAGAGCGAGAGAGAGCGAGAGAGAGAGCGAGCGAGCGAGAGAGAGAGCGAGAGAGAGCGAGAGAGAGAGAGCTGTGTTAAGCTGACAAGCAAACGCAGGCATACGTACACTTGTCTCTTATCTCTCCACTGTGAGTACAGTTTCCTCTGGAGCGGACATGGCTTCTCTGCTCTAAGCCTTATTTTACCAGAAAGGCAAATGAAGCCGATACAAACACCAAACACACGCTCACCTGCTTTGCCCTTCATATGTATGAGGTCTGTATATACATTTGTATGGTCGTTACTTTAAATGATGAGAAAACTTGTGGTTGTTTTTGTAAAAAGGTCTTAAAAAGGAAAACGTAAGCGAAGACATATGAATTAGCTGTGTTGATTGAAAGTAGAATAGATTGTTGTCGTTCTTTTATACAGTGGATAAAAAAAAGTCACTTTAAGGATCGCCGTCTCTTTTCAGTTGCAGGTGTAAAATGTAATATTTGTGTGTTTGCCAGCCTAACACTCTTTGTACGTCCAGCCTTTAAGCAGTTCTCAAACACTCTGGCTCAGTTACTTGATGTTGACTTTGATCCCAGCTTTTGGCTGTTACATCTTTAATGTTTTATCTCTCCAGGAAATTGTGTGAAGTGTTGTTTTTGAAATAACTTTTATGTTCCGTGGATTTGAAGACGGATTTTTCCCTTGAATCTGTTTTTTTTTTCTGTCTGCCTGCAGTCTCCGTAGTGAACGACGCAGGTCTGAGCTGGCTGAGGAAGAGCTTCCAGAGGATGAAGGAGCAGGCTGAGAGGGAGCAGCGCAGCCTGAAGGATGTGGTGTCTGAGAGATACGGGGTGAGAGGACTTTCACGACTGCACACTGAAGCAGTCACCTACAGTTAAGCCAAAAAGTCACCAGACGATGAGGAAGTGACACAATATTCAAATTAAATCAAGATGAGATTAGAGTACACATTTGATTCCTTGTTACTCTAAATGACACACACACACACACACACACACACACACACACACACACACACACACACACACACACACACACACAGTTCCTTTCAGCAGTGTCAGCATTTGTGTTCCTAGTTGACAGCATATAAACTGCGACAATCAGAACTGTGTGTGTGTGTGTGTGTGTCTGTGTGTTTCTCAGCAGTGCACCACTATATTAAATCTAGTACAGCAGAGACGTCTTCTAACATGGTGGTACATTATGTTTTTGGTATCCATTAAGCCCACTTTATCTTAAACATATGTGTGTGTTTGCTTATTTTTGGTCTCAGAGCTTTTTGTATTTATCAGTTGTGATAGAGTACGAGATGTCAGTATAATGTCTTGTATATAAAAACTCCCACTTGGGCAGATTTGAGTAAAACACAGCTGGTGTTATCTGACAAAACCTGGGAAAGCCTTCAAGTAATTTAATATTTCTTTTATTTCTCCTTTTTTAGTCAATGGAAGAATTTCAGCAGAGACTTGATGATGCTGAAAAAGCCGTTTACGGAGAGAAGAGAGGAGGAGGAGGAAGAGGAGGAGGAGGAGGAGGGGGAGAGAGGACAGCAAGAGGCGGATGGAGGAAAGGAGACAATGTGGACAGAGGGAGGATGTGGAGAAAAGAGGGAGAAGGAGCAGACAGAGATCAGTGGAGAAGAAGTGAATGGGAAAGAGATCCGTCACCAACAGACAGACAGAGAAACCGAGCCGGGAGAGGAGAGGGCAGGGAGAGAGAGCAGGGAGGGTATCGAGGGAGAGGGGAGGAGAGAGGTGGAGATGGTGACAGGTTTAGAGAGAGCGATCGAGACAAAAGGAGAGACAGAGATGGTGAAAGAAACCGAGAGAGAGACAGAGAGACGGATAGAGATGGTGAAAGAAACCGAGAGAGAGACAGAGAGACTGATAGAGATGGTGAAAGAAACCGAGAGAGAGACAGAGAGACTGATAGAGATGGTGAAAGAAACCGAGAGAGAGACAGAGAGGTGGATAGAGATGGTGAAAGAAACCGAGAGAGGGATAGAGATAGCGTAAGATACAGAGAGAGAGACAGAGACACGGATAGAGATAGTGAAAGAGAGAGACCTGTTACATCATTATCATCAGGGGAAAGTTGGAGTCAAGGTTCTTCCTCTCTTGGGTCACTAAAAAGCCGCTTCCTCAAACCCACTGAAGATGACGATAGCGGTGAAGGTGGGTTCATATTAAGGCCTTTTCTAGCAGTTGTCAGAGCACATGCACAAACATTTTGTCCATTTCTATACAAACTCAGGAAAAACCACTTTCCTTAAATCAAATTAATAATAATAATAATTTATACTTTATTGATCCCGCAAGGGGAAATTTGTTTGTATAAATTGTATACATATTCAAACACGTAGGGAGTCTCAGAGGCCCTAACATGCTTTAACACTTTCTTTATGTTGTAGTTTTAGAGCGTCGCCGCCCTCCTCCTGCAGGTCGACCCAAAGGGTTCCTAAAACCAACCTCTGACGATGAAGACCCTGATCCACGTAATACAAGCATTCCAACCTGGAAGAAGAGCAGCAGTTCTTCCCGGGAATCTTATAGCTCAGAGAAACAACAACAACAACACCAGGAGAAAGAGAGGGATCCTGGGAAGGCTGCAAAAGCTCCTCAAGACTCCGGCATGCACGTTGATAAAGCTGCTGCTACAACAACAACATCAAGGTTATACCCTTTTGATCTTTTTGGCTCATTCACATGTTTCTTTAATGATTTCAATCATTTTTGCACTGATTGAATTCTCCAGTTTGTATGACCTGTGTTTCAGTGGGCATAATGAATGCATTGATCCCATTATTGTCATTTCACATGAAGCACATCAGTAATAGTGTTACTATGCTATACACACAGACATCTTATATACTGCTCACAAACTTCACTGCAGCCACTTAAACAGTATTTTGCTGCTCATTTTTTTAAATTTCAGCAACACTGTAAAACATAGTATAAAAAATGTATTTGCATTTATCTTTGGAATATTTTTCATCTTGGCTGATAGGAAATTTCTCATTTCATGATTAAAAAAAGTAAAAAAATCACACATGCTGTGCTTTCTGCAGTCTAACCCTTACCCTTAGAATCTTTCAAGGGCCACACACACAACTAACCTGCATGTGCTAAAAGAACTTCAAGACAAAATACTTAAAAGGATCAATCTGCATTGGGTCATATTTATGTTGACACATACAAACCATTCTATAAGTAAGTAATCCCTTCCATAAAACATGGCTGTGCCTTCACATGTGTGCTCTATTAGTCCTTATCTTCTTCTGCACATTAATCTTAATATACCAAGAAAAAACTCCCCATGTCTCTGAACTTGCCATATGTTATCTGTTGTAATCGTAATGGCTATCTTTCAATTCAAAGGACTCTGTCTAGTAGATAATATATATGAGTATTCTGTCCCTTTACAAAGACAGCAATCTGCAAAAACCCGAAATGTGAAACGTACCTGAAATAATAACCATTGCATCATGGGCTTATATAATTTCCTCTTTTCACGACAGTCCAACCTATAGCACCGTCGTCGGCCAGATGTCAGCATCACTTCTTTGAGAAGCTTTCTCAGTCGCTCTGGGTTTGCCTCATTAGGCTAAGTTGTTTGGGTTAAACCAGCACCCGTGACCCCCGCAGCATGAAATGAGCCTGCCGAGTGGCAGCAGAATGAAATGAGACTATGAGGAGAGTAATAGTGTAGAACGATGCTTCCCAGGCAGCACTTCAGATCCCTCACAGCAAGGCTGTAATGATCTCTAGGGGATGGGGGTGCAGAAAGGCTCAAATGAATCATGACAGATAAACAGTGTGAGGGCACATAAGATTACAACTAAATGGTTAAATCAAGAACATCACAGATAAGTTTCCTGTTATAAGGGTTATTATTAGGGGGGAATAAGAATGTCGGAGTTCAGGGGGGAACCGAAGAGAAACTCTGCATTAAAAAACAGAAGTTAAGTGCTGAAGAAAGGCTGCTCTAAGCGTGGTGCATAAACATATTGTGGTAGGGATTTTTTATTCCTCTGTATTTTTCTTAGGAGTGAGAGTGAGAGTGAGGAAGAGGAGGAGCAGGTTCCGCTGCTGTCAGAGGAGGAGATGAACAAACTTGGTGCCAAACTGGTGAAGGCAGAGATCATGGGAAACACGGTGAGTGTCATTGTTTCACATACTGTAAGAGTCACTGTGACTTTAGAAAACTTATTGGCCTGGAAACACAGGACAACAACAACCAGGCCTTCAGCATCTACTGTTTTAGGAAAGGAATTATTTGAAGTTGAGAAACAATTTATTAGCCTTATCCTGTTCGGAAAAGTTTCCCGGAGATGCTGTTAATCCAAGGATTATCGTATCTCTGAGGAACTTTCACTCCTAAAAGATAAATTGGATTGACTTGCCAAAACATAAATTCAACACTGTGGATCAGATCAATAAATCATGTGTTCTCTCCTATAAGGATCCTGCACAGTGTCTGATTCTCTTTTTTTTTTTTTACTGGTTGTTTTACTTTTTGGTTTGAACATTTGTAGCTTAAAAATTTGGACTCTAAAAGACATACTAGCCTTAATCTCTCTCTAGCATTAATACTGCAACACGCCATAATGCAAAACGTATATCAACACATGCACAGAGATTTATTTTCAATGTGTAGCTTTAATAGGACATGAGGGGATCCATCAGTTTATAACTATTGATCTGTGCACTTAACTCCCTCTGTCTGTCTTCATGTGTCAATTCTAAAATAGAGTAATATATAGAGTAAGAACTGCCTGTTAAACACACACACACACACACACACACACACACACACACACACACACACACACACACACACACACACACACACTGCATGGACGCACATGCTCACACTTACAATGTCAAGTGGTATAGCTATCAGGCGGGTCTCCATCATCTCCCCACAAGACGAAACTATCAAACAGATATATCCAAACCACTTGGTGTGTGTGTGTGTGTGTGTGAGTGAGTGAGTGAGTGAGGGTTAAGTGCCTGTAACAGTCATTCACTTCTATTCACTCCTATTAATGCTTATGTTGAAATGTATTAATATGTGCCATGGCTTAAAAAGTTATTTGTGTGTGTGCGTGCCTGTGCGTGCGCTCAGTCTGCACTACCTCAGAGCCAATGTTATAGAAATACATGCTGCCTATAAAACATTAGCATACCACAGTTTCTCTTTCTGTATCTGGCATCATCTAAGCCTTTCTGAGTTATCTAATAGGCTGTATTTTTAGAGGCTGAATGATCATTTTTACATGACAAGAAATCTGCCAAGAACAGTTCATCGTCTTTTTAAAATCTTACATTGATAAGACTTGTGTGAATCAGTGTAGTGATACAACAGAAAACTCAAAGTACTTGGTCTTTTTCGATTCTCTGATTTTTTTTTAAAGTTTCAAATTAACAATGAATGGGTGACCAATCTTTACATTTTCTTGCTTTTTGAAAGGCATTTTTGTGTTATATAAATATATGCGTGTGTTTGTTTCAGGCTATGGTGGAGAAGCTAAAATCCCAGCTCGATGCAGCACACAAAGCCAAAGAGATCCACGCCAACCAACAGAAACAGCAAGAAACAGCAAGATCAAAACAGGTGTGTAAATATATTATCTGTAAGTCTCTCTCTTTCATTCTGACAGGTATTGTGTTAAGTAGCAAAGTGTTTGCACAGGTCGATCAATTAGCAGAAACAGCGCTCAGTCTAAAGGCGCACTCACACTAGGCAATCCGTACCGCACCCAAGATCATTTGACCTTCAGAGTCCAGTTCGTTTGACTAGTGTGAGTGCAGGTAAGTCCTGGAGCAGTGTGAGTGCAGGCCAGCGGGGGAAGGGGGAGGGGTCAATCGTGCTTCAGAACTGTACGGAGCAACTTTGCCTGGTGTGAGTGCGCCCCGACAGAATGGAATGCAAAAAGAAAAACCACCCAAAAGTTAAGTTCAGAATCTCTCCAAAATGGTTCCAACATGAATGGATGTTATGACCTTCATCATACTGATAGAAACTTTTGCAGTATATCAGACTGCATACATTTTGCATCATCTTAAGCCAATTGAATGTCTGTCAAATAAGAGGTGTTCAGGAATACTCAATTTATTTATCATTCCTTCTCGATTCCTTTTATCAATCTTAAAGGTCCCATATTATGCTTTTTTTGGTTTTATATGCTCTTTAGTGTGTTTTCCAAGTGTCCTGTGCATGTTTAGGCACAACTATTTGCAAAAATTCAAAGTCCACGGAAACGCGGCTTCTCCTACCTCCTCCTGTTAGCTGTAGCATTAGCCGCATGTAACGCTCGGTTCTAGCCCCCCTCGATAAAAATTTGTCAGTCCGACAAGGACTGACAAGGTGCTAATGTTTATGCTCCCCTCGGACGGAGACAAAGTGGCTGCATTCCCTATATGGTAAAAGAGGCGGGACATTTCCGAGAACCGTGCTGAGCAACTGACCAATTACGGCAGAGCGGATCGGCAGAGCAATCAGAGCAGACTTGGCCCACGTGGGGTCTAACAGTGGGGGCTCAGCAGAGCGTAGCTGACGGACTCAAAGCGTAGAGGGAGTAAGGAGGAGCAGAACATGAAAACAGACACTTTTTTCCGACTTTAGCTATTGTGAACGTACAAAAGTAGGAACATAGATTAAATATATGAACCCCAAAAAGGGCAGAATATGGGCTCTTTAATATTTTCCATTTCACTTTCACAGAGCACTTATTCCTCTGAGCTGATATCAGCACAGATTTATTTCCCAAGATTTACAATCGATCCAACACACACACGCATGTCCACATAACACTAAAAACCCAGAGCAGATTGACACATGTTTAGCTGCATAAATCCAGGTAGAGACACAGCAACCTAAATTGGATACTTACACTTATTCTCAAGTCATACAAACTCAGGAATAGATAAACACAGAGACTTGCACACGGCCTCTAACCCGACACCAACACACAGATACTGAATCTTTCCAATCTTTTCCCCTCTCCAATGGTCTAAACGCTAATCCAAACACTGAAGGCCATATTTTCTCTTAAATTCTTACACAGACACTTAGGACAGTTGGTTTCAGCAGCATCAGACTCCCTTAACATTTCAGACAAGACAAACATGCACCCGTCTTCAGCTGAAACTAAATCCTCTGCAGTTACATATGACCCCTTTTTAAAAAGGAATTTGTTTATTTGACGTCTTTTTGCAGCTCAGTTTTGAAGTCTTGCTGTCTTTCTGGACACAGCTCCTGTTTGACATTATAGCCGACCCCTAATGAGAAACAAATGCTGCCCCTACCAGAGGTCATTCAGAGTGGGCCCCCCCCCCCCCCTGTGTTTATCTGTGCAAGAGAATAAGAAAAAATATGACAGGAAGTCACAGAACACATGTAACACCTCGTCTGCATCTGTTGTACATGTGATTAATAGAAGGCAATGGCAGGGAGCAGACTCTTCAGCACTGCTTTATCTCCCCTCTCTTGTTTTCAAACACACTAACAGAGCATATTTGGGACAGGAGGAAACTCAAGACAACTTTATAAACTCATGTAGAGCAGGTCATGATTTATTAAATAACTTTATTTGCAGTGAATAGTAAAGCCAGATTCATCCCAAATAAGGCGGTCACCACGCATCCTGAGAAAAATGTCATAATTCTTGCATTTTAGTGCACTCATCAGCTGAGAGGTACTTCAGCCTTCTCAGATTCTGGAGTGCTGTTGATTTGCACTCATTCGAGATCCTTCCAGTCTGTCTTGTTATCGAGGACTTTCGGCTTGTCTTCACCAGTCAGTGTTTCTGAAGCTTGCTGTCTGCTTCATATTTCATATTTCCAATGCGCTCAGTGCCTCAAAAGGCTCCACTTTCTCGACTGAAGCAGAGAAAATATTCTCTTCCATCATTCTCTTTCTGACAGTCCAGTTTGAGTCTCTTGTGACTGCCTCACATCCTCGCTGCTTCTCCCTCCTTGTTCGTGTTTCTTTGCCGCCTCTCTCTACTTGTCAGGTCGAACATCGGCCTCTTATAGGCTGTCAAGTCAGGCCCTGGATGCTGTTACGTAAAGATACTTTTTTCCCTTTGTGCAAAAATGGATTGTTCCAACCTGCAAGAAACTTCTTCAAACTTTTTGATTTCGTAAAACACATGTTGACAACTAAATTGACCCTGAAAAACTTTGTAAAGAAAGTCAGGTCCTCCATTTCTCTGTAAAAACACACCTCCCTTTTTATTAACAAGAAAATCAACCTTTATCTGAATAGACAAATGTTATCTCCAGAGCGCCCTCCTCAGATTTCTTCTAACACAGTTGTCGTCCAAGAGCGTCTTACTGATGGATCACACAGAGAAAAGATGATTCATCATAAAATAATGTGAACAAGTTACTCATTTATGTAGTAGTGGTGGCACTTTTTAACCCAGCCCTTTCAGAAGTTAAGATATTTTTTGGCATGAGAAAAGCTTCTTACAGTATTTTCATGATGTCAGAAGCTCCATTTGTTAGAAGAATAAAAGTCAGAATCTGTCCTTTTCTGCTCCGTCACACACGTCTGCTGCTCTGAATCCAAAACATTTGCAAATGCTTTCTGTTAATTTCACCCTCCTTCCCTTCATCGATTAGTGACGCATTTGCCTGACGCGTAGGTGTTGCATCCTCTTAGATACACAAATACTGTAAAGTCCTGTGCATGCTATACAAACGTGAAAATAGATTGGATGTGTTTTTTTTTTTCTTCTTCTAGGTCACAGGTCGCTCCAGTGAAGACCAGGAAGTCCTGCTGTTCAGAACAGACCAATCAGGTCGGGCCTGGCCAGTCAATGCCCCGTCTGGATCCCTGGAGCCCCACGGAGGACGACGGAAGAAGAAAGCGGTAAAGAGGGAGGGATGACGGGTGGTAGGGAAGAAGAAAAACAAATGCCAGGACAGCAGGGAGGGACATTTTTTACAACATGAAAATGGCCGCTGCACACATGGTTAACATAAATCTTGAACTGAGTGAGAAGCCAATAAATCTTGTGCGCCGTTAACATGTAGAGTTAACTGGCTTAGTTTAATATACTATCTGTCTGCTTTACATCTTTCCCTCTTGGAAAATCTCAGGCCTGTCCATGTTCACTGCTAATATCTTCAACATTTTGGTTGAGCTTTAGATATATCAGATTTTTTAATTTTTTTTATTCAGCATCCAATTTCATTAGCCGTTAATTGTCCTCTCCTCCATCCTGCATCCCCACACATCCTCTCTTTTCCTCTCTCTTCTTCAGATTGAGACTCACGTTGACGGGGAGCGTGTGCGCTACTTCCAGGATGATGATAATGTGGGTCTGAAGGAGATGGTGAGGAGGGAGAAGATGAGCACTGCGCAGGATCAGAATGCCCTCTACTCTCGCATGGCTTCAAAGGTAAGAAAACTTTTGCAAAACCTTGCAACTCCTGGGCCCTGGTGACTAAGACGTGTGTAAATACTAAATAAATAAACGCCTGGTGTCTTAGGGCTTAGATCAGTAATTCTCTTGACAACACATGAGCAAGGTGTTTCACAATCTAGCAGCCTCACTGTTGGTTTTTATCACAAAATCTCAATTTAGAAAATACAATTCTGGAGTCAAAGACTTTGTACATTAAAGATAACTTTAATGTAATACAACTAAACCAACTAGATTTGCATTTATTAGCCAAGGGGAAGTTGTTTGATTATTTTAGGTGTTTTTATTCTGTTTCATCTTTTCCTCATTTGAGCCTCAAAGCACACCTCAGGTTGTCTCTAGAGCACTGCTGCTCAGGCCTTGGTTGGTTTTTCTTGTTTTCATAGAACCAAAGCTGCTGCTGTCCACTGTCTTCTGAAAGAGATGATGAAGCAAGAGCAGTTCAAGTTGAAGAGTAGAGTCTCTTATGACACAATAATTGAACAGTAACCCTGCATGAAACTGTTTTTCCTAAACATTCGTACCAGGCAGAGCAAGTGCCTTGTTGTCAGTGGTTGTAAGTGCATCAACCTCTTAATTTGATACTGGTACTACATTTGATAAGTATATCCAGATGACGGTGTGTTTCACACATTATTCTGTTGTCGTTATCTGAATCCCAAAAGATTAACTTTGCATTTATAATCTGTCGAAGATAAGATAACTCAACAAATATTTCTTGCATCTCGTGATTCTGCAGTCATTATTCAATCGCTCATATAAAACCAACTTCAAAACCAGTCCAGTCCGGTGTGGGGATGTTGTTCATGTTGGACTTTCTGGTGTAATTAGATAAAAAAAAACATTATGATACATAATAATAATAATAATAATCATTTTAAGAACATTTTATCAGCTGCAGGTTGGTTTCCATTTATTTACAATAATCTGTCAAGTGATTGCAACATAATGTATGTTTTGTCAAATATCTGGAATAGACAAATTTTGAAGAACGCAAGGTCAGTCTGGGCCAGCTCTGATCGTCCTCTCTTGGAGGAATTTGTTCTTCTCCCCCTCTGATCGGAGAGCCACAGATACACATTTAGTGCAGTTAATGCACTTAATCTTCTTTAAACCATGACTGCACTTACAAGAGGCACTGTAGCACTTTATATATATTGCTACCATTCCAGTGTAAGTTTTGGGGCCGATACCGATATTATTTAGAGAGAAAAATTCCTATAATGACATATGGGCTGATATCTTTCTTCGATCTAGCTACAATCTTTAGAGATCAATTGATATAAATAAACAAACACAGTACTTGCGTTGATCAGTCAAACCCAGTTATCAGATTCATAATTGAGACAAGATTTCTTATACATTTGAACAAACATCTTTATTGACCAGAATAACAACAGTGCACTGAAACACAAGTCTTTACTTAGAAATTAAAAATAATAAATACAAAATATATAATAATGAATGAAAAGCATATAGAAATATATAATAAGCTTGAATAGAATAAACCTAGTTGCATCAGCACATATCAGACATAAAATTGGCTGATACCAATATCGCGTAATGCTAATATCGGTTGATATTATCGGCCATGTGAATAATCGGTCGGGCTCTACAAAAAACATCAAGTGAAATGTTAGATAAAAAGTCTAATTATCAAAATTAGGAAGATTAACAATCGAATAACAAAGTTAAAAGTATCACAAAGGAGCCAAGTCAAACACAAGCTCATTATAAAAGAGAATACGCCAAAACGATCAGATATGATAAGTGTGAGACATGTTATATGACTAAATATATTGTGATGCTGTTACCAAATAATACCAGAGGTAGAGCAAATTACATATATTTTTTTGCAATCATGAAAAATGGCTTCTGATTTGTATTCCTTACAGTTCCTCTCGTCTATCATCAAACATAATGACTTTTTGTTCAGTCTGACAAGTCAACCTCTGCTTAAAAGAGTACAAAATGACATCTTTGCTGATAATCATAATTGAGAATTAAAACTTTGTAATACTCAGGTGGGTTCATGTTTTATTACATCCATTCACAAACCTACCTTTTACTCCCTAAACTTCGGAGAGGTTGGTCAAATTTTGTGTCCTGTTTCCCAGGTCTGTAGAGAACCCTGATTCATTAGGCACTTGTGATAATGACTCTCCCCCATACCTTTTATCTCCCCTCACTCCTGTTTCATTAACACAGAGCAACAGAAAACAAATAGCTAGCAGGCGTCTCATTTCTGTCACAACAACAGCGGCGTCAGATTAGATCAGCCGCAGCTGAAAACTTGATTAAAAACAACGTGGGGTTACCACCAAGGCACGGCAGAGGACACAGATAATGTTGTTCCACTGATGCACACTGAATGCTGCTTTGTTGAATTGATCAAAAATTGTCAAAATTGATCCTCCGTCTCCGCTGCAGCAATACAAACCAAGTTAGTTTAAGGTACAGCTGTGCTCAGGTGTTTTATGTCAAAATGTTTATCTCAGATTGAGATCTCCATCTGCAGATTCACATACTGCACTTTTCCCTCTCTCTCTCTCTCTCTCTCTCTCTCTCTCTCTCTCTCTCTCTCTCTCTCTCTCTCTCTCTCTCTCTCTCTCTCTCTCTCTCTCTCTCTCTGGGTAAGAATATGACAACAACGTAGTATGATATCCTACTGACAGCTTGTGTGTATGTCTTTTTTAAAGGAAGCATTTATAAACAAAGGGATTGCAGAAGTTGCCATGGCAATAGAAAAAAAAGGAAAGAAAGATGAATGCTTTGGCTCTATCCATGTTTTTTGTCCCCCTTTCCCTGAGTTTATCTGTCTTCACTCGCTCACTCTCACTCATTCACTTATACAGGCAAAATCTCAGAGACACAATTGCCAACCCTTGTACAGTTATTCCACGTGCCCACGTACAAAAATACACACCCATACACGAATGCTGTGCACCTACAAAGAGTGACACTAAAAATACATCTACAGTTACCATGGCAGGGATTCTATAAATACCAGTTTAATCCATTGGTCAGAGACATAGTGCATTAAGTCAGCAGACTAGCATTGTCTGGAGATTTAATGTAGTTTATTTTTTAATAGTACATGAGTAGTGTGCCAGACATATGTTATCTCTTCTGCTCTGCTGCTACATGCTGAATTCACAATCTATAATTTAAAGGGCATCAAGAATGTGTCCATTTACCAAGAGACATGTGTGTAAATCATGGTGTGATGGGGATGTATGTCAGAAAATAAAACTGTCTTCTTTTGGACAAATGCTGCACGAGCTGCTGCACACTTAGTGCTGTCATTTACACACACACACACACACACACACACACATACACACACACACACACACACACACACATACACACATGCATATACATGCACACACAAACACACACATGTACATTCCCTCCCACGCTGTCACTAAACTAATCCAATTTTCACTCTCTCTCACTCACACTCACTCCTACACAAGTAGTCATGCACACACACTTAAGCCATGCTCGCCTCTCGCGCTCTCACATGCACACTGATACCAACCTGTTGCCTGGTCGCCATGGCGACAGGTCTCAGACGTAGAAGGACCAGTGTCGATACTCAGCATCCTGCCTCACACGGTTAACACACATGACAAACTTACATGCAGGGCAGTCCAGGCACATCACACACACACACACACACAGACACACACACACACACACACACACACACACACACACACACACACACACACACACACACACACACACACACACACACACAGAAACACAGAATTTGGCCTAGAAACAGCACAGAAGGATGACCATCTTTAAAGATAGTGACAAAGATAAATAATTCACTGAAGCGCACCGTGTTATTACTGATGCTTAAATATGTTCCCAGATTTGGTCTGCTCACCATTCCTTCTTTCTTCCCTCTTCCTCCATACATCTTCTCTCTGTCTCCTCTGTTGTCTCCATCGCCACCACTTCCACTCCACTCTCCAGATGATGGGAAAGACAGACGGCGACAACTACACACTGGATGACATGTTTGTGTCGAGTGCAGCACAGCGGGAGGGCGAGGGGAGGGAGGAGGAGAGGATGAGGAGCAAAGCCATTGGGGAGAGTAGGAGGCTGGCGGCCTCCATGGAGAAATGCCACTACTGCTTCAGCAATCAAGAGCTCCCAAAGCACCTCATAGTGGCAATAGGGAGCAAGGTAAATGATCACAGGTTGGGATGTTTGAAGAACGATGGAATCTGTTCTCAGTGTCATTCATCTAATTACATTCAATGTGATGGTTTGCACAGTTTCTCCACAAATAGAGCCTGAACCTTGATTTCTCTATAAATCCTTAAAAATAAATGTTTACTAAGTTGTGTCATTAACTGTCCAAAACCAGAAAATGTTTGAATTTTTCCATCTGTAAATACAGTGTTTTCATTTTTCTTTCTTCTTAGAATATAATAAAAACTGTTATTAAATTATAAGACTTTTGTCCGGACAGTCTTAGACTAATGGATCAGTTGTCCTTTCATTACAACTCTTATTGAATAGACTCAAGGCTTTGTCTTATTGATTATAAAAAAAACAAAATCTTCAGATCTATTGGATGCATATCTACAGTATGTTTGCATTGTGACCAGGTGTACCTGAGCCTGCCAGCAGGAGTGTCCATGACAGAGGGCCACTGTCTCATCTGTCCTCTTCATCATCACTGCTCTGCCACCTTATTGGACGAGGATGTCTGGTCAGAAATGCAGGTTAGCCAATCAAGACTTGTTAATCTTGTCAACATATCTGTTATTTTACAGGAGAGTTAGATAGAATCTGAATCTGATCTGTTTATTTCAAACACTCATGATAACCTCTATGCTGCTTTTTTTTTTGTCCTCAGCTGTTCCGGCGTACTTTGGTGCGTATGTTTGAGTCCCAGGAGCTCGACTGTGTGTTCATGGAAACACACATGAACCCACGCAGGAGGCAACACATGGTCCTAGAGTGTATCCCACTACCACGAGAACTGGGGGATATGGCACCCATATACTTTAAGGTGTGTGTGTGTGTGTGTGTGTGTGTGTGTGTGTGTGTGTGTGTGTGTGTGTGTGTGTGTGTGTGTGTGTGTGTGTGTGTGTGTGTGTGTGTGTGTGTGTGTGTGTGTGTGTGTGTGTGTGTGGACTCTCCTTTTCTAATCAACTTCATTTTGGTTTGACAAACAAAAAAGTTGCTACCGATCTGTTAAAGTTATAACATCAAAATAGTGCATATGTTCTTGAAAGTGTTGAAACTGTTTGTGCTTTCAGAAAGCTATCATGGAGTGTGACGAGGAATGGGCCATGAACAAAAAGGTCGTCGACCTCTCTTCGAAAGACATCCGCCAAGCTGTAAGCCCCCCTTGACATTGTTTTTCCATTTCTCTTTCTTTTACTCCTCCAAACCTTTCAATGTAAGTTTGCAGTTTTCTTTTCTTTTTCTATCCTTTCCTCTCCCCTGATTTACTTTCTTTGACTGTCTTAACTTTGTATCTTTCCCTTTACTCCTTTCTGTTGTTCTCACCTCACCATCCATGGAAATTGTCGTTTATTGTTTGTTGAATACCTTTCAGGTTCCTCGAGGTCTGCCTTACTTTGCAGTAGACTTTGGACTCCAGGGAGGGTTTGCTCATGTCATTGAAAACGAGCAGAAATTCCCCCATTACTTCGGCAAGGTCAGTGTTGACAGTACATCTCTATGCCTTCCCTCCTTTTTAAACTATAACGTGCACGTGCAGCGTAAAAACAATAATCCAATCCAATTTTGCCAAATATTTCAACATGATAAATCCCTCTTTCTCTTACAGGAAGTGGTTGGAGGCATGATGGACTTGGAGCCGCGACGTTGGAGAAAATTAATCCGGGAGAACTTTGACGATCAGAGGAAAAAAGTCCTGCAGTTCGCACAGTGGTGGAAACCCTATGACTGCACCAAGACGGAGGGTTAACAAGACTAACTCACAGAGAGGTGTACAACACTCTGCTCAGAAACAGAGACTACACAGACATGAATCAAATACACTGTTGTTCCCAGAGTTGAAGTCACATATGGAGATAATGGTGCAGATGCCTTCATGATAATTGGACACAAAATCTCTTTTTTAGAAGTTGTAACATGAGAACTTGTATTACTTAAATAAAAAGTAAATGCTTAACTTTGATTTATGTGTTTTTTATGTTGCATGCAAGAAAATGTTTCATATCTCCTTTTCTTTCCTCATCAAAACTACACATTTACAATAGGTTGGTGAACAGTAGAATAAGTATAAAGGCATTTTCAACATCAAATACATCAAATCCCCTTTGAAGCTGCATCTGTCCTTCCCCCTGTTTTTTTAAGTGTCTCTTATCCATACTGCCCTCCCCTATGCTGCAGCCCCCAGGATTTAATATCTTACTTTGTGGCTTCTTAATCCTTTTGCAGCTGTCACTTCATTCTAAAAGGTTTCAGTGTCATCACAGCCACATGTGCTGGCCTAAACTTGAGCGTACATGAGCAATGAAGCCCCTTTGCCCCCACATTTACCCCCACCTTTTTATCTTTCAGCTTTGCTATTGGCTGTGTGATAATCTTCCAGGTGTCATTTCAGACACCCTGTGATACAGATTATAGTGCAGAGTTTGTTTGAATCTCAAGGGATGGAAATTTGGATTTACTGTTAAGCTTATGTTGTAACAAGAGCAATCTTCCAAATTAAGATTTTTTGTCTTGCTATTAGAAAGCGCCGTCATTAGGAATAAGAAAATCCCACATGTCGATAATGTAACCTTTACATATATGTTGAAAGGGAGTGCGGTAGCCGAGTGGTTAATGTGGACGCCCCATGTACAGAGACTAGTTGTCAAAGTGGGCAGCCTGGGTTCGAGTCCAACCTGTGTCTCCTTTCCTGCATGTTATTCCCCACTCTCTCTCTCTCTCTCCAATCTCTGAATCTGTCAACTGTCCTATCTCCAAATAAAGGCATAAAAAGACCCAAAAATAAAACCTTTACCAACATATACAGTATGTTGAAAGGATAATAGTTAAGCTGTAAAGGTCAAAACCCTGGACTATTTTTCAACCTACAGATGTGAAATGTTGGTCATAATAGCCTAGGGGTTATGACGCGTGCACCATATACAGAGACACAGCAGGCGTGGGTTCAAATCCAGCTTGGGCCCCTTGCTGCATGTCATCCCCCCACTCTCTACTCCCAACATTTCCTGTCTCTCTCTGGCTGTCCTATCTCATAATGGCTAAAAAAATCTGTTATCATCCTAGGAATTATAACGATGAGTGTACTCAATCTTCAAGATCTTGAACCAGTCCAGTTGCCTTTGGATCAAGCTTTGAATGAACCATGATCATGGATGACTGAGAACCTACACAGACAACTATGAGTGTAACTAGGAGTACATCAAAAAATAGTGCCATGTTTCAGGATCATGAACAAAGAAAGTGAAGAAGAAAATAAAAATAGGTACATGGATAAAGAAAATCATATAATTTCCTATTGGAGAGAGAGGGAGTAATTCATAGTGTAATAATATCCTGAGAGCAGGGAGATTGCCTGATACTTGCAGAATCAACACCTCAGCCACTGTCAGCAATGCCACACTGCTGAGGAGACAATGAAAGTATTCCCCTCAGGAAGAAAAGCGTTGCGTTTTGTCGTTATTGACCATTAATACAGCTTGACCTTGGTAGGACTCTTTTCATTGTAAAGATCAGCAAGCCATGGTGAAAGCAGTGTCTCTGCAGCTAGCAGTCAATGGGTTGTGGAACATTTATATTTTCTGTGCACATAGGAGGGACATATATAAAAACAATAATTACATTGGTCAGCCCCCCTCTGTTGCTTACTACGTGAATATGATGTAACCACCGACATGACCACAAACAAAGACATTCAAAGTGTGCTTTCAAAGGTCAGAGCATAATGTTTCAGGAAATTCAGCTGGATCTGTAATGTTGTTTTTAACAACATGCAATTTGCTGCTCTTTAACCTTATTTGTTCCTTTTGAAATGATCCCTTGGGACAGTATAGCAGGTTATTTATATTGCGCAAGTGACAGAGAGGCGCAGGTTCACGGTTAATAGCAGCAGAGTGGCGTGGAGTGATGTATGGTTATGGCCAATTAGATTGTTCAGCGGCAGATTTATGACTGAGACGACCATCTCTCTCTCTCTCTCTCTCTCTCTCTCTTCCTCTATCTGCCACTCACACACACACACACACATGTTCTCTCTAGAGCTATTTTGCATCCCCTCAGACTACCATTCTGTTTCATTCACCCTTTGCTAGCTTTCTAATTTCTAATGTTTGTAAGTCTTTCACGTTCTAGTTTAGAATTTACACAGTCATTGTGCATCATTAACAGGCAGAAGACATACATTTCTTGGACTGAAAAGGCCATAAAACAACGTCTTTTTGTCAGGAAATCCAAAACTGACACTGACACGCTGCTAACACAGCGCCAGGGATTTTGGATTGGCCCGCGTAACTTTGGCTTTTTAATACCAGAAGTTACTGTTTCCCCTTCTCATACTATATTCTAAACTTTTAAAGACCTTGCTTATGATGTTCCTCTGACAAATTAAGGATCTAGAGACAGCCTTTTGTCCACCTTTGTTATGAGCTTATGTCAACAGAAAAAGCCTGTTAGTACTTTTAAGACAAAATAGAGACAATCAGACCAGGCAGGGACATTCATCCTCTCCTCATGCCTTTCCTTGGTGGTTTCTAGGATTTGTCTGTTTCTTTGGGAAATAAATTTACAGCTGGGCCATGAAAGTGTCAGTCACTGTGGATGAGATGGATGCGTGCGTGGAAGATGGTATTACATCTTTGAGGAATTTACTGACTTTTAGACTTAGACTTTCTTTATTGTCATTCGAACTTGTACTTTACAGGTTTTTACTTTACAGATAAGAACGAAATTTCGTTGCATTTGGCTCGTTGTAGTGCAGGAAAAAAAACAGCAGCAAGTATTTACATAGAAAAATAAGGTGCAGATATAAATAGATATAAAAAGAAAAGCTATGAGTAAAATTACCTGCAGGTGAAAGCTGAGTCCCTGTCCTCCACATGTAGCCCTCTCTGTGCTCCACTGATAGAACCCTCTGTCAGGAGTCATGTTGCTCAACAAAGAAACATGACGTGCGTGAGAGCGTGCCCCTGCTCGTTTTACAGACATGGGTAGCTTAAAACGGCCTGATTTGATTGGTCAAGACTTCACATATGAACGCAGCATCATTAAAATGTCTTAACATTTTTTTAAAGGGGAAACTGTATTTAAGGTGTTAAATTGCATTCATATATCAAATATGAATCAGTAAAAGCACAAGTTAGGAAAGTCTATTTTCTCCCAGTGATTAGGGTGGGCCAACTGCACAAGTGGGGGGTGCGGTGGGGGCAGGCCCTTTAAGGCCCACCTATAAAGTTGTGCCTGCACACAAGTACTTTCCACTACATATAAATACACACTTATGAGAACCTTTTCTAAAAGCTCCAGTGAGAAGTACACAGCATTAAAATTCTCATGTTGTGCGTCTGTGTATGTGATGTGGCAGGCAGTGTATGAAAGCACCATTGTGTTTCATGTTGCAGTTTGTCTGCTTATCTCTGGGGAAAGGTGTGTCATGAGGCCGAACTCTTTTTATCTCTCTGCATTCCTCAACATCTCAAATTTCAGACACTGCTCAAAGTGTGTGTCTACTCCTGGATGGTTTTGCCAGTATATTTTAGTTTTTTCTCCTTTTGCGCACAATTATTTGATATATCTGTGCGTGTGAGTGCATGTTGTGTGTATATATATATATGCAGGCTTGAACCTAAGATGACAGAGTTAATCTGTCTGAGGAACAGTTAAGGTGCAGTATAACTCTTGAGACTTGCTGGGTACCTGCTTTTCTTTGCTAATGCTATTCAAATGTAAAGTCATCCATTCCAGCTGTGCCTATTGAATAAGGTTACCACGAGGTGCCCCTTCCCAATGATAGCCCAGTTACTGAACCATTGCCATGTCTGCACTCTGCTACAAATGGCTGTCTGGCTTATCTTCTCTGGAACATTATTTATCCTATTGTACTGCTGGCTTTATTAAATGCCCGCATTATAACTGACTGATGGCAGACTGATTGCTAAAAGTGAACATACAGATAAGGAAAGAGAAACTGTGTGTAGTGTGTTAGGGCAGGAGTGGGCAGTGTGGGTGTGTATTATAAAGAAAAAAAGGAGCTACATTCTGTGCAATGTATTGGGGTCATGCTGCTCCAGAAAGTCAAATGAATTAGTAGGCACCTCCAGGAAATTACACTGTGTTGTGTGTGTGTGTGCACATGCTTCATGATGCATCATGCTTGTTTCAGTTTCTCTCTGCTTGTCCCTTTGGGGATCTAAATGAACAGACATGCTCTGCCAATTGAGGTCAAGGTCATTGCTGTGATTAGTGCCAGACATGAGCTTCATTCTGTTTTCTGACGGGGGGGCAACAAGCGTGTACCATTGCCGCTGCCAGCTCCATTATCAATCTGTGGAGCCATGTTTGTCCTTGCATATACTGTTGAACACATTTGGCACATTGCCATGAAGTTGGCTTATTGACCATGGCTGTTGTTTGATTGCAATGAGATTTTTCTTGATTAGGATTTCCATTTAGTTAATATTGGACCAATCATCAGTTTGTTGGCTGTAAAGATGTCGCATGTTTTAAAATCTGTTTTTAACTCCAAGTGGAGATGAACATGTATCCAAAATTTTGCTTTCAGCAAGCTCAACACTTCTTGTATTTGTTCCTGATTTAATTGCCTGTTTTTGGACTTTCATGTTTAAAAAAATTGCAGAATGGTATTTAACACAAAATGATGAAACAACATATTACAATGGAAATGTCTGGTTATTTATTCAACTTGTCCAATAGAGCCACCTTTAACTTTTCCTATCAGCAAGTCCTGGTCATTATTTCTAAATATACTTTAGTTCCTTTCCTTCTAAACTGCATCCAGTTTAACATGTTGGATTATACATGGAAAAATAATTGCTTTATGAATTGTATGCGTGTGTTATGATGGCAGTAGGAGTAATGTTTTTTTTTTTTTTATAGGCTAGCCTTTTGCTTTTTAATATGTTAATTTATTTTGCACCAAAACACCAAGTCAAATTCCTTGCATGTGTAAACATACTTGGCAGTAAACCCAATTCTGATTTGTTTTGGTCCCTGTTGATGGTCCTAACCCTTACCACCTACAATTTCTAATGGTAACTTACCATTAGAAATGGCATTGGCACCTACACTCTAAGTTGAGATAGGAGACAACAGACAGATGCTGAAGTCATTTATAGTCAGAACCATCCCTTTAGTTATCAACCACATCACACTGTCTTCATCAGCTGTGGAGCTATACATTTCCTACATGGTGGTATAGATTTGCTCACATGTAAAATAAATGAATATGCTACAGAATCTCTATCTATCTATCTATCTATCTATCTATCTATCTATATATCATCAGATTGGTTGAGGTTTATTGACCAACTAAAACGCAGAACAGCGAGTTGCTGCTTACTTCACTGCACGAGGTCGGCAGAACGCGCATCACTTCACAGGTGCGTGCTGCTGATGGTTGTCTCGCTCACTCACTCTCTCCCTGCTCCACATCTCGCACACCTCCACTTCACCGCCTCGACTCCTACTTTGCTCCTTAACCACAGGAGACGACAACAATACACAAACACAAAAAAAAAAGGCACAGGAGCAACGACGGAGGAATATATAAGAACGATGGACTTATGATGAGAGGAGGGTCAGTCGGCCCCCCGACAGACTGGAGAGCCGCTGTCGCAGAGGAGACGCAGCAGGCAGCAGCAGCAGCAGCAGCAGCAGCGGGAGGAGGACGGAGGAGAGAGGGAAGCAGCCACATCTGCCGTGACTTTGGGGAATTCTCTCTGTCAAAGTGGGGAGGATAGGGGAGTCGTCAAGCCCATTCTTTTGGATGCCGAAATCCTCTGCCTGTGCAAGGAAGCGCTTATGTGGCGGAATAATCGTGATGGACCATTATGTCGATTTTTTTTTCAACCTTTTCTCAGTTATCTATCCTGCAATTTCAGCGTCCTGTTGTGGTGCGACACAACATTCATCGCCGTATGTAAGCCAGCCACTAGAAACGGCTTTCTGGCTATTTGTTAACAGTCGCTAGGTTTTTTTTTTTTTTTTTGTATTTTGCTTTTTTTAGGCATCATTTGAGAGTTTTTGGCCCTTTCTGCGTGGAATTGTTTTGGGGGTAAAGAAAGACGGGTTTTTTTTTTTTTTTAAGAGGGCGATACCCCCATCTCCTCCCCTTACATAAATGTTTGCGTGCCGTTAGTGCTCTCGTTCTCGGTCGACCCCCCCCCCCCCCTCCACCCCCCCTTCCCTTCTATCCCTCTGAATAGGTCCGCTGAGTCTCACACGCAGACAGACGCATCTCTAATGCACACATAGACACACGCTGGCCTGGACACTCTCACGCGCACGCACGCACACACTCACACACACACATCTCATATGCATACGTAATTATACAGACAGACCTTGCCACCCTCATCCTCCACCAACCCTCTCACCCCCCACTATCTGATGACTCCCCGACGAGGAGTTGGACGTGGTACGAAACCGACTGTAGCATCATCATCACCACCACCACCACCACCACCACCATCATCCCCATCTTCAACACTACCACGGTCATCATCACCATCCTCCCCCTCTTCCTCGCCACTACCATGTCCTCGTCGTCGCGCAAGATCTCCTCCGAGTCTTTCAGCAGCTCGGTGGGCTCGGACTGCGGGCTTGAGAGCCCCGGGGGAGATGGGGGTGACGGCGGTCTGGAGACGGCGGAGGAGAGCAGAGGCTGCCCCTTCTCCTCGTTCCCCTCCTCCCACAGAGCGGTGCTCTGGAACGGCCGCAGCCCCGCCGACAGGTCTGCGTGCCCGGCGGGCGAGGAGCAGCAAGTACCCCACAAGAGGGTCACCAGGAGGAGACGGGTGAACCTGGACTCGTTGGGGGAGAGCCTGAGACGACTTACATCACCCATGGTAGGCCTCCAGCTCGGTCAGAAGAGCTAAAAATAACATTGAATAGTCATGTAAAAGTTGCTACACTGTATCCCCTGTAGTCGTCATCTCCTTTCAAACTGCACAAATGTTCAATAGGACCTTGGCCAGATAGGGAGCAGTTACATTTATAATGAGCACTGTTAAAAAGCATTGCTAAATTGGTGGTTTTATCATTCATTTTTTAAAAACATGTGTTTTCATGCTTATAATAAGCTGGGCATTATGGATCATGGAACAGCCGAATAAGGATTGTTTTCTGGCATTGTCAATTTGATGATAGCCAGAGGCACGTCTCCCACAGCTGTCTATAAAGTTAGAGAGAAACAAAGCCTGTAAGTTGCATTACATGACACAACTCCACTAGAAGTACCAGTGCCCCGTATCCCAGACATTGTATGTTTCCACATCATAATATAACATGTGCTGTGCTGTCTCTTAAAAAAGCCCATTTCATCCTTCCCATCTGATAGCCCAATGATCTGGCATATTATATAATAAATATTTTGTTCTGGAGCGGGAGAGAGAGATATATTCATGCCCTGTCTGTGTATATGTAATGATGTGAGGAGTGTGACGGATGAGCCTGTTTTTTTGTGGCTGTGTCCCAGTTGTATTACAGACTCTAATGCAATAAAGCAGTTATTAGAACCGAGCACAACTGTGATAGATGGGGGTATTATAGGGTATTTTTTTTATTGCATCCTTCTATGGTACACCAGTTTAGAATTTAATTAAGTCTCCTGTAATTTTGGCAGCGTTATGTAGCAAGTCAACAATAATAAACATCCTAAACATAGATGTCACAGTTGTAGTTAATCTAAAATTGAATGGAGATAGTGTAAAACTGTACATTTTTTTTTATGTAGCAATTGCATCAAAAAGCCTGTCCTCAAATTAAAAATCTCAATTGAAACCCTTGAAGCCCTCGAAAATGTTGCACTTTGGTACCATCCAGTATAAAGGAGATGTCGTCATTGACCGACAAAGCAGACCTACAGTATATTATCCAATTAAGACATTATTTACATCCTTCACTACCAACTGGAAAGCAAAGATACCACAAAGGTAGGTATTGTATTACAGGAGATGGCTGTATTTAAAGCCACAAACACAAGTATTGTTTTTTTTTTTTTTTTGTACATTGTGGATATGGTGTGGTCCAAACAGTTCAAGGCTCAACCTTTTTGTGCCATCATGTGTGTCATTGGTAACTTTTCTTACTTAGGGGTGGCTGTGGCTCAGTTTGTAGAGTCGGTCGTCTCTCAACCGGAAGCTTTGGGGTTCGATCCAGCTCCCGCAGCAACATGTCCGATGTGTCCTTGGGCAAGACACTTAACCCCGAATTGCTCCCGCTGCTTCGTCGGCGGCATATGCATGTGTATTAATGGGATTAGTTACTTCTGATGGTCACATAGAAACTTCCGCCATCAGTGTGTGAATGGGTTTTGATGGGTAGGTGTGACCTGCGGTGTAAAAGAGCTTTGAGCAGTCAGAAGACTAGAAAAGCACGATACAAGCTCAAGTCCATTTACCATTTACATGTAGTGCTGAACCCGAACACGCATGACAGTTCAGTGGTCTCTCATTTGACGGTTATGTATCTACTGTTCTTATAAGTCAAGATACATTAGACAACTTACTAAACGATCCAAGGTGCAATAATTGTACTTTGTATCACATAGAAGGAGCTGTTCCATCTCGTCTGAACGTCTTGATGTAGACAGTTTGTGGGCACTTACCGTTCAGTCTCAATGTCTTAAGACTGATCTAATACTGATATTAGATTGAATCGGTCCTTTCTCTAGCTGTCAGCCAAACATCCAAATAAGATGGATGTTTGGTGACACCTTGGATATAATAGTTGTAATTGTTTATTATTAAAGAATATTATTTTTGATCTTTTCTAGTTGATGTTATCTAGCTATGGATTCGCTCTCTTGCATGACTTCTGCTTTTATGATTATTGGAAATTCAATACACTTTAAAATGCATATGCAAATTGCATATTTTGATGAACATTTGTCCTAATACTAAATAGAAATGAAATATTTTAGGAGTGATGCCCAAATAGTGCACGCTGGACCGCCCTGTAACGACACTTACTCCAACTACTGTGGCCTGTCTGCTCTGAACGTTTTCCTTTTGAACCTTTTATGGTTAACACTTCAGATAAAAACAATCAATCAATGAACAATATTGTTTTATGATTGGTATCACATATTGCCTAATTCACTATTGTTTATCTAAAGTATTGTTTCCAGACTATACTTTTCTACAACCATTAGATTAAATTAAAAAAAAAAGCTATAAAACTAAAGTGATTCATGGTCATGCACATTGCTCCATCTGCTCCACCTTGTTTGAGTCTGCATAGTACACATTGTATCATGTATGGGTTAATGATCTGCTAATAGATGGCTAGCTAGCTCATCCGTTTTTTTTTTTCACTGCTCTTGCTTTATATCTAGGAGTCCTGAAGTCTTGTGGGTTCCTCTAACTCTATTTCTGTTTGTTCCCCAAAATCCCCACATAATAATAGGCACTGCTGTGTTTTCATCAGACTACAGCAGGTCGTGGGAATATGCTTCTCTAAATTACGAATTCTAAGACCCTGTGATCCAATTCCTGGGAGAAATAGATGACACGAAGAAATCTACAGTAAGACAGCAAAGATTGTAAAGCATTTTTTGGCTGCAAAGGCACAACCTTGCAGAATAATGAAATTCAAAAGCACAGCTAAAATGTGAAGTTGGTGTATATTGGAGAGGACCACTGAGAGCCAACTTCAGCTCTGAGCTTCAGCTCTTACTCGCTGCTGATTTTTAATAGATCTGTGAAAAACGTTGAGCAGAGTGAACACTTACAAATTGGTTTGTATAACAGGGATGAGAATAGAATAGAATTTACATGATTCAGGACTACTAGGTGTTTTGGATTGATTGTGTGTTTGCAAGTAAGTATGCTTTTCCTTTTAGTGCAATTACAGGCATCAGTTCATGATCAGCTGAGCCTTTTTAAAAGTATGTAAGGGTTATTATGGTACCGTGTGCTTTAGTTACAGGTGCTGGTAAAGGATTGGTATCCATTGTCTTTTTTTGTTCAAACATAAAGCATGCTTCATGTTTTCCAACTACATAGTTGTTTATGCTGCTAAATTCAAACTTAATTGCTGCTGTAGGCAGGAACACACATGCATATTACACATTAGGCAGTTATTCATTTCCCTCACAACACACATTTTATTATCTTTTTTGTTCATTATTTTTCTTTGTGTCTCTCTCAACCACACACACACACACACACACACACACACACACACACACACACACACACACACACACTCAAACAGAGTGGCTGCGTGCAGTGGCAATGCCTGTTGTTGACTGCAATGGACCGTGACGGAGAGAACAGAGCATGCTCTCTGTGGTTGTCTTCACCCTGACCACACTGACCCAGAAGCTACAACACACACACACACACACACACACACACACAAGACACACACACACACACTCACTCACTCACATTTACATTTGTGCAAACAGTCATTTTCTGTCTCCCTTTCCCACTTTCGTGTAATCACATGGAAGGTGGCCATTAGCGTAGTGACCCATGACGTTGATCAAAAGGCCCTGAGTGTTGGCCACAAATATGAAAAGTGTGAGACAAGTGTGTGAGTGTGCTAATGTGAGAACTCACACACATCCTAAATCTGTGGTCGCAACTTGTCTACTGTTATTATGGGAAAACAGCGACTTCAGCTTTAGCTGAAAAAGCAATTTGTTCATTTTGCTACATGCAGGTGTGCTTGTCCGGTTTCCATGGACTTTGATTCAAACTGCTTTGTAGTAATAGCTTGTTGAGGTTGAGGCTGATATTGATTCATAACTCCGTTGGCCATTTTGTGTTCCCAAAAAATGCATGAAATGTACTGATACTGTTGTGCTTTTAAGACCACTTTTAATCATTTTCACATTTGTAAGACTCCTGAAAGTGCATTTAAACAAACAGCAGGGGGAGTACAGATGGGTATGACATTAGGGATGCACAGTGACTCATATTATCACCGTTGTTGTGATATGACTAAGCTTAACAAATGCATCACATTAGACTGCCTGAGATATAATTATAACAAAGACTATTTTATGTACACGATACGTGCCTTCACTCTCACTCAGCATGCAAACATTTGACCTGACAGAGGAAGCTGGATACATAGGCTTATATTTTTACACCATTTAGCTAATCAGATTAAGCCCAAGCTACCCGTGAGCTACCCTAAAATTAATTGGTGTCAATTTGGTGTCAACAGCAAGGAGAACTCTTAGATTGGCTGAAGAAGAAAAGAAGAGCGAGACAAATGTGGACAAACATTGCTGCCACAGTGCTATGTCATGATTTGAAGATATTAATATGAAATCTTAAAAGCAACCATTGTTACACAGTTGGAATATAGGAAAGACAATGCAACGTGAAACTCCTATCTGAGGCTTAATTCAAGTTCATAAGCAACACACTGTACACTGAAATGTGTATGTGTGAAGAAGATATTTGTCCCCAACGCTTCAGTACTGTTAACGCCATAGTGCTTCTGCACAAGCAGATTGCAACAGAATTGTTTTCTTTGTACCTGCTTTATGCTGCCTCCCCCTGACAGTGAGGCCTGATGAGTCTCATGCTGGGATTATCTGCCAGGTCTCATCTGGTATACGGGTTTCTATTTTCTTAAATAGTGGTGGCAGCTTTCCAACAGTGCTGAAGCACTAGTACCCACTGCTTTGTGACCATACAAGTAACCAGTTCATGTGGATGTTAATTTGTCAGAAAGGTGCATTTAAAGATGACAAAAAGGAGCTGGTATGCGCTGTTGTTGTTGTTGTTGTGTTGCAGGGATTCAGTCCTGAGACACACAGAAAAGTCAGGTTCACACAAAGCAGATAGAAGTGTGACTGAACTTCACAGGGAAAGAAATCAATGCAGGGCAACAGAGCAAGAGGAATGAAGTGAGTATTGGTGAGATTCTGCTCCCCTCCCAAGATAAAGAAACTGAGCAAATAGGAGAGTCACAGCAGCCGGTTTAAATAAAGACGACAGTAAAACAGCGAGGGAAAGGGGCGAAAAGGGGAGATGAGAGTGAAATTTTGTTGGGTCAAGTTTTATTAATCTTCCTTTACATTAATGTAATTACTCCTCCCAGAGTAGATGTTGTTCTGAGATTTAAAATCCACAATGTGAAAACAGACAAGCTCTATTTGTTGAAAACTGTAACTAGCGCCCCAACACCTTTGTTTGTGTGAGTGTGTGTGTGTGTGTGTGTGTGTGTGTGTGTGTGTGTGTGTGTGTGTGTGTGTGTTTCTCTCTCTCTCACTCTGTCGAGGAGATTACTTTGTGACGGCTATTGACTTGTGTGTACAGTAAACATTCAAGCGATTGCAACAATGCAGACTGATGATGATGTATGTATGTGTACAGTATGTTTGCACTTGTGTGGCTGATAACAGTACGTGTTTGTTCACGATGTGTACACACATACTGTAATGCATGTTCTTCTGTAGTAAATGAGTAGCTGAAACAAGCATGAAGTGAGTTTATTGTCATGAGAATTTTTTTTTTCTTGACATAAACACACATACAGGCATAATGTAGACACATTGACGTAATCTTTTCCACCTCAGAAACAGAATTTTACACAACTTGTACAAAGTGTCCTTGCGTTTGTGTTCGATCAGGCTTGCTGTGGCTTTAGGTGAGAATAATAACATATAAGCAAGCATTGTTTCAACTTGCTCCGAGTGCTAATATTCTATTTTTGATGCTATGTACATGAATTTTGCATGAAGAAAAAAATATAATACAACCCTTCTTTGACTTCACAGTGAAAGAACTATATTCACTTATTACAAACGTCGGCTGGCACATTCAGATTTGTTCTTTAAAAGCACACACACCCTCTCTCTCTTTTAGCTCTACAAGTCCATAGCTCAATAGTTTATATCGCTCTCTTCCCTCCCTGTCTTTGCACAAATACACACACACACACAAACCAACACACACAACCGCACAAAATCATTCCTGTATCTGTCCGGAGTGGGCGGCGGCCTCAGATTGACCTCTCCAGCTGGCACTCTGTGTTCTAGCATTGTCACTACAGCATCGCATTCAAGCTGCATCACAGATAATCACCTCGGGTCCGCCCTCTAAAGCTTAGGCTGTCAGAAACACAAAATATGCCATCTTGGCAGACAGACAGACAATTCACAAGTGTATTGTGGTTATCTTGACATTTTCTGACAACTTTTCAGACCTCAATGAAAGGGGATATTTAAAACAAATGACAAAACATAAAACCGTCTTTGATGGGGGCAAATATCAGGGATATTTCCTGTGAAAACGCCTGTGACATAACTGTGTGTCTTTGCTGCAGTATATACTCAGTTGATACTTTAGCAAGGCTTTTTGTATGCTGAGATAGACACATAAGGTGCAATAAATGCAATCACACATTGGTGCTCTAATAAATAAAAGATCACACATACAAATGCATTTGTTCTTGTTTAATATTGTCCCTTTTTCATCTTGCAGACACAGACTGTTCAAGAGGCTCTACAACGAACTCTCCAATACTACAGACAACAAGAGATCAGGTATAGCAACCTTTTTTAAGTTTTTGGTTCTCTTCCTGACTGCTTCTCTTTTATCGGTCTCCAAAGTCACACACACACACCACACACACACACACACACACACACCACACACACACACACACACAAAAAAAAAATTGTCAAAATTACATAACTCAGAAACGATTCAGAAAGGCACAACATGTACTAATACTGTCCATAAAGCATACACAGTTCACAAATGTAGTTTCTGGATTTGGACTTCTTTGGATTACTCTTTTTCTCCATCAGACATTGTGTACTTGATCTATGTATAATGAACCGCCACATGTTGTACCTTCAGCAATAATACCTGACACACATTTGTCTCTTTTGTGGCCTATCAATGGGGTCTATGTGTCTCTATGGGGATGTGATTGAGTGACTTTGGACTAAATTAATATGTGTTTTTAGAAGGACGACATTGGTATGTGTGTGTAGGCATCTGCAACTTATGTGATTGTCTTTGCAAACGATATTGTGTTACACAGTATCTCAATAATGTTTAATCCAATAAAAACAAATCAAGCTTTGGGAAAATGATATTCTTTTAGTGTAACAGTTCAATGAAGCCTGTGACCAGAGGATTTGTACTCTGATTGACCATATGAGTGTGTGTGGGAAAGCAAGAAAGAACATCCATTGGTCCGCCTTTATAACCATTGCTGGTGTGACCTTGAGCCCTGTCTTTCTGTCCAGCTGCTCCAGGGAATCTGCTCAGTGTACAACAAGTATGAACCCCACGGAGGATAACTAAACTGACAGGCCACCCAAATCATCCACAAAACTACCAACACTGTAGCCTAACTTTGTGCCTATCCATACAAATAGAGTACGCTGCACTTAAAAAAATGCTTTTTAAAATCTAGCAGCAGTATTTCTTTCCGGACACAAAGACGTCGTCATTCAGAATAACCTTCAGCACTAAATGTGCATACCTTCTTTTAAGAGGATTCCTTAAAAATGATTGGTGGCAGCCCAACTTTCAGTGAATTATTGTTTGTCCTCTTGACAGGTGTCAGGAAGTTGCTAGTGAGGAGAGAAGAAGAGAGAAAAGAGAAGATAAGTGCCCATTCCTCGAAAATTCTGGCTCAGAGGAAGATGTTCTCCAAATCCTGCAATACATGGCCACCATTCTGGGTAAGTTTATGAAAGAAACACTAAAATGTGTGCATTTTTGTGTGTTTGGTGAGAAAGGGATGTATTTATTGGACAGTTTTCACCTCTGCTTTTCTGGCCTTGCTCTATTCCTGCTGCTTTGGATCAATTTTACAGTACCATGTTATTTTTATGACAAGACACACACAGCTTCTCTCATTTGCTCCCCATGCCTGTCCATAGTGATCAGTGTCGTTTGTTTTAACCTGCTTGTGTGTGTGTGTGCGTGTATGTGTATGAACACTTGCAGAATTGCACAAGTCATCCTCCAGGGCCTGGACCTCTTAAACAAATTGTAGACACTTTTAATAAAAAAGGGAAATACAGTATCACGGCCTAGGTGGTTTGCATAAACTCAGACACAAATATACAGCTATTTACAAATGCTTAAACACACACAAACACTGTATGACTCACTCTTGAGGCTTACAAAGTCTCTACGGCCCATCATGAAAAAAACACAGACACGCTGTCCCGGTGAGTCACGCAGTACAGCTTTGTCCTCCCTCTGTTCTATCCAAGATCTTTTCCATCCTCCATCTACTTACCTCCTCCTAGTCCGTTTCTGTACAAAGCTTTCACCAATAACTGTTCACTACTACTTTTTGTTACCTTCTCTGTCCTTTTACTCATCTTCTTATTTGTGCTTCTCCTCAAAGTGTCTTTTGCTTTTCGTCTCAGCTGTATGTGTATACAGTATTTGCCTATCTCTCCATCTCACTCTGTGTCGTCTATGTTAATAAATAATATTATGACAAAAGTCGTAACGGCAGCAGGCTAAACAAGTCGCACATACGTCCTTCTCTCAATCCTTGTTTTCAAGTCCTTGTTAGGGGATCCCGTGGTGTTCCCTGGCCAGATGGGACATGTAATTCTCCAGCATGTTCTGGATCTGCCCAGGGATGTCTTCCCTGTTGGATGTTCCTGAAATACATCCACAGGGAGGATTCCAGGAGGCCTTACTGCCAATGAAGGCATCTGTGCCCAAACCACATCAACTGTCTCTTTTCAGTTAGAGCAACAGTTGGACACAGAGCTCCTCCTTTATGCTCATTTGGCAAAAGTAAACAACTTTTGGCCACTTGTGCATTTGTATTCTACCAGTCATCAACCAAAGGTCATTATTTAAGTATTTTTAAGTATTTTTAAGTATATTTAAGTCACGATCAAACATGAATCAACTGATAATTTGAAAGCTTTAGCTAAAGGAATTGCACCCTCTTCACCCTCTATATTGCAGACGTCACTGATGACGCCAAATCAATCTTGCTGTCAATATCTATCTTTCACATGGCCTCGCTCACCTGTGTGTATAGTGCTGTGCGTCATGGTTGACTGAGTTTATGAGTTCAGTTTTCTACAGGCGCATTGCACATCATGTGTCTCTGAGCCGATATTGAGCTTTAAGCTCTTAGTCAGTGCAGTCACGGTGCACCAACACCTGCAGTGCACCCCGAGCCACTATATACAGCACCTACCTTCTGCTTCAATCAAAATACACAATCTAAGTGTTATTTAACATGGGTTTTTAACATTGTAGAAGTTTGACCTAACTTCTGAAGTGAAGTTTATTTATATAGCACATTTCAGCAACAAGGCCAATTCAAAGTGCCTCACACACGTTATCGAAAGCATTAAATCAAAGGGAAAAAGAAGCATTAAAATAGCAAATTTCATCACCTAACCAAACTATGAACAATCACAGATATGATTAAATATGAGAATGTTTAAAAAAAAAAGAAAAGAAATACAAACACATTAAATGAGTTGTTTGTAGTTCACTTTCTGCTAAGGCTTAAAAAGCCTGGTTTAAGTTTTGATTTAAGATAACTTTAAAGACAATTTGCTGTTTTCTGTTAGTCCTAGCCAAAGCATGTCATGGCTCAGAGGTTCAGGATTCATGTTGTTGCTGTTATAAATGGAATTCACATTTCTACATTAAAATATAGTCAAAGACATTAACCAGTTACGTTCGGGCTGGTTAGGTGTATTGTTGTATATAACTGTAACTAAGTTTACAAAAAATGTAATTTTGCGTCCCTTACACTGGTGTTTTGTTCCCCCCTCTCCCAGGAGTACCATTCTGTGAGCTGCGAGAGCACTTTGGAGAAGAGTTCTTCAGCCTTTGCTTTGAAGAAAACGAACGAGTGCTTCGGGCTGTAGGCGGCAACCTCCAGGACTTCTTTAATGGCTTTGACGCCATTTTGGAACACATTCGCACCTCTACAGGTCGCCGTGCCTCATCTGAGAGCCCCTCCTTCCAGTGTAAGGATCCCCAAGAGGAGGAGACAGGGAGAAGAAAATTGGACAGTGTTGGAGAGCGAGGAGAAGGAGAGGTTAGAGGGAAGTTGTTGCTTCTTCATTGTTTCAACCCGGCCCCTGTTGTTGGACTGGTCATGCCTGGGCTAATTAGAGCTGTTGCGAGGCGGATCTTTCATTCAGAAGTTGAGGTGGAGGAAGTGCCACCTCTTACTCCCTTATTACCTAATGAAGATACAGAACACGCAGACGGTGACTCAGCAACCCCGACCCCAACTGCATCACCCACTGCCTCGCCCTCTTCCTCCCCGTCCCCACCCTCTCCTTTCCATACGTCGGTTCCCACAGTTTGCTTGTCCTTCCAAATCACAGAGACTTGCCCACCTACCCTCTCCTCCTTCCCAAATGCTGCCCCCGTGAGCACTAAACGGCCCCCGCACTCACTCTCCACCAACCCCAGTGATTGCGCATTGGCCTGGCTACGTTTTGCCGTGCCTTTCCATTTCACCTGGTCCTTGGGCCTCACATGGAGCTACTTCAGCTTGGAGAAGGGTTGAGGAGACAGGCTCGCATTGAGCCTCATCGAAACCTCTCATTCAGGGACTGTTTCGAGATTGTCTCACCCAAGATGGAGCCGTCGTTCCGGGGCATTCTTCTTAGGCTTGCGTCCCCATTTACAATCCGTACAAGGCCTGATACCACACAGACAGGCACCAAGGAGAAGGTAAGGCAACCTACATAACACATTCTCATTATAGAGAAAAAGATTGCTGTAAGAGTAACAGCTTGGTTTATTGAAATCCAGCTATGAAATTTAAATGAGATTGTTGGTAATAATTATTCATAATCAACAACTTCCCTGAGACATCTGCATCAAAGAGTTAATCTCCAACATATCAATTTTGACCCCTGGATAGTGTGTGTGTGTGTGTGTGTGTGTGTGTGTGTGTGTGTTTTTTTAACAAAAATAGATAATTGTAAAAATCAATTTTTGCAGCCAGAAACAAGTTTCCACTGTTTTTTTTTTTTTTAATTGAAGCACTGCGAACTTAGAGAAAATGGCCATGTTGATTTAAGTTCTTCATGAAAGTAGAGGTTAATGAATTGAATTTGAATGACATTTCTGAAGTTCTAAGTCGTCTTCTGTGGTTAACCGTTTTTTTGCTGCCTATTAAAGTTAACAAAAATCAGATGCCAATTTTGTCTACATCAATACTCGGTGACTTTTAAAAATATGTTGCAACACAATCCTAAGTCAGTGATATGTTGCCTGGTAGATGTGAAGTAGGGCTGCAAAATGAATTGAGTTACAATCTTGATCAAGATTTTGACCTTCCCACGGTTAAAGAAACATGAAGAACGGCACCTTTAGACGTTCAAAATGCATCATCTGCCTGTAGAAACCTCTATGTGGTGGTTTATTGCAAATGTTTAAACAAGTATATTACCATATTTAAATTATGTTAGCAAGTAATTATGTTCTCTATGTATATCCTCTAACCCCTAAAACCAACAGCATCTGTTTGCCCCATGTTCTATCTGCACCATGCGCGCCAGTACCGATCAAAGCCTCTCTAGTCAATGCTTGTGTTTCCACTGCACGGGCCACCACTCAGTTTCACTTGAAATATGCGTCCAATCTATTTCCAATGGAGGCACTTCCAGCATACGTCGACTTCAATTTATAGACGCCCGATCGTTATCCCATCACTTTATCAACATTATGCTTAATTGGGACTAAGTGAAGAACAAATCAACCTTTGAAAGGAAAATGAAACGATTGTTTGTATGTTGTTCTCTGTTCCTGTGTGATCTTGTAGTTCTCCTGTGATCTTGTGAATTGGAGAATCTAGCTACTCTTGGCTGCACTGCACTGTGCTTCAGAAAAGGTTACAGTGGGGTGGGCTGTGGGCTGTGGGCTGTCGGACAGAGCAAAACCATGAGGCAGAACGTGCCACACAGCTCCTGCAGGGTCTTGGTGTACCATGTTAATGTTTGTTAACACACGCCTTTGATCTGTTCAACTTGTTTCCCTTCAGTTCTCTTTTCTACAAAGACACACACACACACACTCAGCCTTCTCCTCCACAACAGCTTTTCTCTTCCCCCCTTCCTGCTCTATTTGTCAGTACACTGCATGTTTACAAAATTCATCAGTAGTTCAGTTTTTTATAAAGTTATCCAAATAGGTTAATACAACTCACACTTTAAAGGTTTCACTTGTGATTCTATTATGACAAACATTGTGATCCGTGTTTTGACGAGACATGCTGTTAATAATGTAGCATTTGGCCAACTAATAGGGCCGGTATGGGCCAGATGTTTTGTCCCAATCCAGCCCTGGCAACAAATGAGAAGCATATATATATATATCTATCTATATATATATATATATGTATCTCTCTCTCTCTCTCTCTCTCTCTATATATATATATATATATATATATACACTGTACATGTCATACACATGTCATACACAATGAACAATAAGAAATAAAATAATGTCGCTATAATTAATAAATAATCGTGATCTAAAAATGTATCAAAATAATCATAATCATCATTTTGGTCATCATCATGCAGGCCTTGTTTGAGGTTTGAATTAGTTCCAATTTCCCTGAAACAATCAGACAGTTGTATCCGTCTATATCCAGTTCTTTATTGATCAGATGGTCTCCGCAGGCTGTCAGTGTCAGTACCAAATACCCTGATGCTAAACAGAACTGACAGATTGATCAGAGTGATCAATGTGTGGATGTATAGTTGTGGGGTAGATGTGAGAGAGGCATGTCTTAAACGGCACTTCCCAAAATATTTATGTCATTTTTGACATAAATATGTCAGCATTATGGTTGGGAATGCATGTGATCTGGTCAAACAGTCACTGTGTGTCCATCTATCAACAGTCAGTGACTTAACGATGGTGATCTTATGCCGCAGCCTGCTCTAGTCTGTGAACTTATTGTTATTCACAGATGGATTTTTGTTTTGAGTTTGTAATGTTATGTAAGGAAGGGGTGGTTTCATAGGGGAGCAGTGGTTGTCTGTGCATTACTACCTTCTAACAAAAGCAAGAATATATATTTTTTATCATTTCTTCAATTTCGTGATCTATTCATATGATCTGTGACATAAACATGTGATCTGATCCAGTGGAAAACATCTTAAAACACAATTCTACACATCCCTAAAGACAGAAAATGTTGGGAGGAGAGAGTTGGGGATGGCATGCAGCTAAGGTCGGATTTGAACCCACAGCCACTGCAATGAGGACTAAAAGCCTTCGTATGTGAGGCGCGCGACTCAACCTCTCGGCGATTCTGTGTCCTGCTTTAGGCTAATTCTGAGAGTTGCCCTCTCTGATCAAAGAATCACTATAAGAAATACTTATGTGAATGGATGGTTTGTTATGGAAGCAAATCATTGTCTTATCTTTGCTCTGTTATTACTTCTTCAACAGCTGTGCCAATTTACAGAAGTGCATGACCAAACGGCAGAAATAAAGCTTCCTCAAATAGGAATATGATAAACTTGTTTGTATCATTCTGTCTGTGAAGACTTGAATGAACAGCATTACAGATCCGCAGCCAAAGACAGAGGGCTGGCCTTTCATGTCATGTTTCCCCCTCCTTGTCATAACGCTGTGAGCACTGGTCTTTGTCCTGGCACATAAAAAGAATCCACAGACAGATAGCAGACTTGCATTGCGCTCCAACAAGTTAGTTACTATTATGTCAAGTAATTGTTTTTTTCTGCAGGATAATTCAATGCAGCAGAGAATGTTTAAAGTAAAAAACATTTATAGATATTTTGTATAATTATAGATTATGTATTTCAAAATATTATGTATAGGCTGTGTGTGACTACTACACTGAATTAATACTATAATAAAACTAGTAATTACTATTATCATTGGGGGGGGGGTAAAGTTATTGTATTGATTTAGAGCCCCCTGGTGGCGGAATCTACATACCGTGCCTTTAAATGACATCATTAGAAATAACATTGCCCATGCTTCTTATTGTTATGAATAGAATATTTGATTTGAGGGATGCTTGATTTATGATCACTATTTTCACTGCTTTTTGATGTTTCCATTGTGCTGATCACTTTGTCGTATGCCATTGACTTTAACCAGCAGATCAAAATGAAGCATTTTTAATTGAGTTGAAGCCTTTTTAAAATTCCAGAAGCGTGTGGTTTGATAAGGTAACAGAGAACCTGACAGGAAGGTTGGTGTTTAGATTATGTGCAGTGACCCTGTTATCATCTCTTTCATATGTAACGTCTGCACATCAAAGCCGGTGTCATCGAGTCAGTGCACCATATGCTACTCTCCCTTTTTTTTGTGTCATCAATGATCAGGTACTTGACAGATTTGTGTTCCAGAATGTGTTTTGTATCCCCTTATCTTTTCCATATGAATCTTGTGTCACCTGGTCAGAGGCACAGAACAAAAGGAGAGAGAAAGAGAAGGATACACTGACATTTTCACTAGAAAGGGCAGGAAAAGAAGGCGACAGGCCAAGGCAAAGAGGCCACAAAAGAGCTCCCCCCCTGTGCTGCAAAGTGTGTGTGTGTGTGTGTGTGTGTGTGTGTGTGTGTGTGTGTGTGTGTGTGTGTGTGTGTATTTGAGTGGCCTGTGGTGGATTTGCAGTTTGACTTCTTCCCTTTCTTTGCCCAGAGACTGTGGCTGTGCAAGGGACAGTCAAAGACTTACTGAAAAGGTCAAATTGCATCTCTGTGCGCCTTTTTCTGTGTGAGCACTGCGGTCAGCACACAGGGGAGAGTACACACTGTCACAGCTCTTCTCTTACCAGCACATAAGTCTTGTTCATTATTTTTCCCTCATACAACAGTATTAAATCAATTTTATGTTTCACAAATGATGGAAAATACAGTAAATACAAGTAAAGGCTGTTTCATCACGTTATTTGTTGTTTTCTACAATCGCACACTCAACTGATTTAACCTCTTCAGCTCTTCTGATCCGGCGGAGGTTGCTTATTTGTAGGTCAGGTTTGTTGGCAGTTCTTTACGGAAGCTGTAAAGCAGAGCTGACCTGAGTTCTGAAATCAGCAGACACTCGGCTTTTTTGTGTTTTTCCTCGGTTGCCAGACATAAACACACAAAGTTACACCCTCACTTTTTGAGCTGGGTTGAATTGGATGCTCATCTTTTCTTTCTTTTCAAAATAGCTCAACGAGACATAAAACAGAGGATCTATGAATCACAACACCTACCTCCACTGTTGTGATGCCAGGGTTGTAAACATCTAAAAGTTGCCAAACTCTTGGGTCATGGAATCAAAATGTTGGTTGGGATTAGTCAGTGCTTTTTTTTTTTTATTGTCGGTTAGGTCTAAGTGATCAGTGTATATGTTTGAATTGTAGCCTGGACCAGCAGTTGTTGTCAAAATGACATATTCTAGTATTCAGATAGAAATCCTGATCCTTTAAATGACATTTTTACCCCATGTGATAGGTTTACACAGATGCACAATATTGAAGAAATTACTTCTGGAATGAGGAACCAGGATGTTGAATTAAACAATGTTTTACTTGGTGACAACTACTGTATTATATTTGTAGCAGCTGCTGAATTTGGTGTTGTTTGTGTGTGCATATGTGCACCTGCATGTCTGAGTACAAAGGGAATCTTGACATTTAGCACCACCTTTGATCCAGCTGTAGATAAATCACTGCTTTGATGGTTTGTTTGTTT